CTGTAAAGATCTGAAATTATAATTTAGTTTTTTTATGAAAACTTAAAATTAATAATCAGGTAATAAGTGTCAGGTTTGACGAATTGGTACCCTGTTGAATTGTAAGATAATTTAATAACCAAGCAATGCACCTAGTACATAAACACACCTCAGGCTGAAGTTCTGCCCATAAATGTGGTAGGTTGACAAGCTCCAAATTCATATATATGTCACTGTAGAGAACCACCTAAGTTAAAAGGTCTCCCCCCCTTTCAGATGTTTAAAATAAGCTGTAAAACAATCAGGCGGGGTGTTGTTACTTAAATCTAATAATTTTAATTGGAGAGAATAGAAAGAAATTTGCCTCAAATAGAACTACCTGTCGCTTAATCACACCCTAATCGTTACGTTCATCCCAATACCCACAGATGTCCAGTTCTGGATAGCGTTTTAGGCTAGCTTAGATAACTGTAAAATAAAGAAATAAACAGGGCTTCAACTTTGACCAAAGTAGTTCCATGGATGACTCCATCGTAGCCACTTGAAGACTCTATCACGGATCTGCCCACCTCTCATCGCAGGAATCCCTGTTGCTAATAAAGAATCTTTAGAATCCTGACTTTGATGGATTCTTTTACCTGCCCTTAATCAGTTTCGTTTAAGTCTTCGATATCATGTTATACGAGCAGATTGATCGTTTGTCGGGCAGGTAGCAACGCCCTCCAGTGGTTGACCTGCCCCTGCTCAAGGGTAGGGAGGTAACTTCGCCACTTTTTTTTATCCTTCTCGGGATTTTCCGATAAGCCTTGCGATATAATCTCATTACCAGTGGTTTTTTGGTTGGTACTGAGAACTTATAGGATATAAAACAATTACCAGATTCGTGAAACTTCGGAAAGACAAAGTTAAAGAGTACTTTGTTCTCTGTCAGAGCCACAAAAGGAAGAATGTTCATACTCGAGTGCGTTTGGGATTGAACAGGTATTGATAATGACCAGTCATCATTAGATGTACAGCCTTCTTTTGATTGATTTGTTTTGGTTTCCTAGTCGTTCCTCGGGAAGGTAGGCCCGATCAGGCCCTGTTAAAGGAACCTGATTAATGACAGGCAGTGTTTGGTCAAAGTTTCGGCCGTTTTCTTTTTCCTTTATCAAGGTAGAAATCTGTTCTTTCAATGACTCGTCGCTTTCTTGGTCTGTGAGATAATTTTCTGAAGGACTTTTACGACGCAATAAAGTCATCATAACCATCAAACTAGGCGCTCAGACAACTCACTTAAATAAATAAAAAAATAATGAGTAATTAACTCATTTTTGACACGTCTTTTAAACTTCCGCAGAGATGCAGAAAGCAACAGAGAGTTTGAAGCTGTTTCCAGACTACAGAATAGTTATGATGCTTCAAGGTAGTTCCATTATCTTAATTAATAAAATCTCCACCCATGAACTGACTTCAGCTTCTTTTATACACTCCTTAAAGTAAGAGCCATCAATTTTCCATAAACTGAGGGGTTGAACTAGTGTACTTCACAATGCGACGCGTTCTAAAAGCAGTCCGTTGCCAACTCAAGAACAATTCGATATTCGAACTGGTGTTTTTAAGTGTTTTACACTCACAAAAAAGAAATCTATCATTCTATAGGTATTTGAAGAACTTGTAGCATTCCGCCACAATTTAATTCTTCGTATTGTTAGACGACACTAGGCAGGTGGTACATAATTGAATAGAGTTACTTTTTCATAGTTTGGGTTAATTTGTGATCGTTTCATGCTAAAAATACTCATTTAGAAATTTAGGTGAATGGACAACAACTGGCTGTTGTAGAAATACAAATATAGAGGGCGACGTTTCTAAAGTCTTCCGCCTTTCATCTTTAGGACACGTTGTCATCCATTAAACTAAATTTCACCATGAATACTCTGCCTAAACAATCAACCAAAAAACACTCATTTTAATGTTACCCACAGTTTAATCCAACAGAAGACCGATTTTTAGATACCAAGAAAAAAAATCAAGTTTAGATAAATATAAATGTTTAACCAAAGTCATTACAGTGAAGAACAACGCCCCAGTGTCTCAGCTTTAAGTCTGCAGGGTAGCGACGCTAAAAACTGGGTTTCGATACTCGTGGCGGGCAGAGCAAAAATAGCTCATTGTGTAGTTTTGTTCCTAACTACAAATTAACTAAACAGAAAAAACAACAAATTAAAAAAAAGAACTAACGAAAGCGTTGTTTTGATACATAATACATTTCTTTGAAATTTGCACTGAATTGTATTTAAACATTTCTCAAACCTTAAAATATAATCGTTCACAATACACTTGAATAAGTTATAATACCCTTGTATTTGTTATATATTACGTTTTCCGTAATTTAGAGACGACCAAGTCCCACTATCAGACAAGAAGAGCCTATAAAAGGTGTTATGTATTACAATTTCGAATGTTCTGTAACTGAGTTAACTTGTAGTTTAAATTCAGTAGTTAAATAAACGCCGATATATATTCAGTTTATGATATTTGCCAACAAGATTGATATACACAGTCTTCTTTTTTTAATATAAATATATTTTAATATAGAAACAATAATACAATTTACAATAACAGTTATTACAAATAGTTGTTACAAACAATGATTTGTATACAAACGTTTCACAAACT